ATACTTGAACCAGAAGCTGATGTCATGTGGTACATCATGTAATTGTTATTAATATACAAGTAGGTTAATATGGACACCTATTTTTTGAAGCTCTCACTCCACCCACCGACAATCAAACAAAGACTCTTCCCATAGAAAGAAAAAGAGAGAAGGATGAGGAGAAGGAGGAGGAGATACAGAAGGAGGAGGAGCCTGAAGAATAGATAATTACAATACCACCTACTGAAATCAGTACCAAGTAAGGATCTTTAAACCAATATTTAAATCATTAGGGCTACAAGTGTTTGAAAAATATGTAAATTTTTCAACATTTCACTTTACGACAGATACAGATATTGATGCATAATACCATAGGGTGCCTTTTTCTAGCGCTATAGGTTTCGTGGAAATTTCGCGAATTTATGCCATCTGCCATCTTGTACCGTATTAATTTGATTTTCGTAGAAGTAATTTTTGCGAATCTTACAGAAAATCACGAAATCCGCAAAATTTACAGCCCTTGAAAAAAAGGCGCCCTATGGTATCAAATAATTATACCCTTAGAGTCAGATCTACATAATTATACTGTACATGATCTACATGTACATGTGCATGTACATTTATATGATACAAATGTACACTCAATTACAAATACATGTACATGTACAATATTGCAATTATCTGATATTTGTGGTATTGTTTGAGTCATGGCAATGACAATGAAGCACTGCATGTGTTGTTTACTGTTTACATATGCACTAAGAAACATTGCCAAAACTATCTCAGGATGAGGCATAAGCCAAAAAGTAGTGCCAGTAGTAGTACACTCTGCAAGTGACGGTAGTATATTGGTTTGAATTGTCAATATCTGACAAATTAACTCTATTTTTGTATATTTTCTATTTTAGATTTGAATGTGAGGTGATTTTTGATACTGAATCTGTTGGTGTGTCAGTGGGAGGAGTCAGTGGCAGTGGAAGTAGAAGAAGAATAAGGGGAAGCAGCAGTAGGAAGAGACTTTTGGACCATTGTCAAGTTTTGATAGCTATCAATGAGGTGATATAAAATATTTAATTAACAAGTAATTAATATTGGGTTTCCTGGCAACAGGATCAATTAATAAATCATCACAGAAGGATAGCAAAAGGTGAAAAAAACAAAAAATAAAACAACAAAAACTATTTTTAAAACTGTTTTTAATAACTTCATAGTGCCGGTTGAAAAGAGGAATTGTAGTAGATCCATACAAACTGGAAGCTCACTCAACTAAGAGAGCTAAAAGTACAATAGTATGAACATACATGTATATAGTACTGTAACTCATTTAGTGCATGATCACACAGTCTCTGTTCTTCCTTTCTCACCTTTTCTCAGTTCAGAGCTCATTTTGCTTGTACAGAGCAGCATCTCCTCATATGATACAGTCTGCCAAACTTTCATCAACAACAAATCAAAGTAAGGACATCATTGTGTATCAGAAAATATGATAAAAATCATTGATGATTTTTGAGCCAATTTTCAGAAAAAAATTGTCATTTTCCAAAAATTGGCTTGTTTTTGAAAATGGCCATAACTCAAAATTTTTTAGTCAGAATCACTTCAAAATTTTTACGTAGCCTAAGGACAACAATATTAGAAAATATAATAAAAATTGGAAGTGATTTTGGAGGCAATTTGTGGAAACTAAACTTACCTTTTTGCATTAGGTGAATGAGTCCAAAATAATGATAAAGTTGTGTGATTTTGGTTCAGTATCATTTATACAGCTAGGATAATGAGATAACGCATTAGCAGATTATACTAGGCGCCTGAAGTAAATCATATTAATAATAATTTTAAAGTTGCAATAAAAGTTGGCGAGAGACCTTGCACTATTTAGTGCTAGGGTAATTCATCAAATGCAACAATCAATGTACATTTGTACATGTACTAGAGATGTACCAATAATCAGTTGGCATATCGGATATCGGTTATTGGTTTCTTTGCATGCATCTTGCAGATACATGTATAGCAACACATGGTCATATGCATGAGAATAAAGGGTTAATTAATTAATTTTAAGACATTATG